CCTGGTGGTCCCCAGGGGTGAGCTACTTGCATTTCTTGACCATGACTACACCCACCGGTCTGCCAGCAAGGTACAGCTCACCTTGGACTGCTGGGGAGATTTTGACAGTGTCCTCGCCACTGCAAGGGCACTGGCAGGGGAAGGTAAGGGGCCCAAAAGCTGTAACACCCATATCTATATGTGGGCCCTCAGTTTCATAAACGCCCTCTATACATATGGGAGGGCGCTACGTGAGCCGACGAGCCCCACAGTGAGCGTTAAGATGTGCGAGGCCCCTGCTGAACTGTCTACTAAACCCACCCCCCCAGCCATGAGGTCATTTAAGATCGTGACCCTCAACATCCACGGCTGCAGGAAGGGTCTCTGGAGATGCTGGGTGCTTTCCTTCCTTCAGGAGGAGGGTACCCCATGGTATTCTTGCAGGAGACCCTGGTGCCTCCAGCCAATGAGCCTAATTGATAGCTGGAGTGGGGAGGCAGGATCTTTTTTAGTCACCTCTTGGTCACCTCTTGCAGGGTGGCCCGCTGTTCTCCCCGGGCCTGCAGCCAGAGGTTCTCCAGGATGTTGAGGTGCTGCTGGGCTGCCTGCTGCACCTCCAGCTCCAGGTGCAGGGGCTGGTCCTGAACCTTCTGAACATGTACACCCCTGTGAGAAACCCAGAGTTGGCAGAATTTTTCTGCCAGGCAGCCACTTACATCAGCACCCTCAACCCTCGCGAGTGCCTGGTGCCTGGCGGGGACTTTAACATCACCTCAGATGCGCAAGACCGGTTGGGCAGGGAGCAGAACCAGGCTGCCATGGGCGTCCTCGGGGAGATCCTGATGGACTACTCCCTGGTGGACATCTGGCGTGCCTGTAACCCTACCAACTCCCCTGCCATCACCTATGTGAGGGTGGGGGAGGAGCAGGCATACTACTCCCTGTTGAACCAGGTTTATATCTCTTTGCCGCATTTTGCCCGGGCCAACTCTTCTGGCATCTGGCTGAACCCTTTCAGTGATCACCACCTTGTCTGGGCCCAGGCCGCACTAGGGCATGGGCATCTGGGGTCGGCCTACTGGCATTTCAGTGCCAGTCTGCTGGAGGATGTGGGCTTCAGGAAGGCCTTCCAGGAGTTCTGGCTGGCCTGGCAGGAGCAATGGGCAGCTTTCCCCTCAGCTTGGAGATGGTGGGATGTGGGAAAGGTGTGCATCTGGCTTTTTTGCCACAGTTACACTCAGGGGCACACCCAGCAGAGGGAGGCAGTCCGGGAGCAGCTCGAGCAGGAAGTGCTGGAGCTGGAGAGGTGCCTGGCCACCAACCCAAACAACCCATCCCTCTGCGGAGAGTGTCGGGAGAGGCAGGAAGGGCTACATGCTCTGGATGACCATCGCACCCATAGTGCATTTGTCTGCTCACATGTCCAGCTCCTTTGGGAGATGGAGCACAGCTCCCACTTCTGTGCCCTGGAGAGGAGGCGGGGGGCCAAGAAGTACATCACCTTCCTTCTGGCAGGTGATGGCACCCCCCTCACGGATTCAGGTGAGATGCACACAGGCCTTCTACAAAGAGCTCTTCTCCCTGGATCCGACCAATGCCAAAGCCTGTCAGACCCTGTGGGAAGGACTCCCACAGGTCAGTGCGGTACGACCTGGACCGGCTGGAAGCTCCTTTCATGCCGGCTGAGTTTTTGGCTGCCCTTCACCTGATGCCTGGGAACAAGGCGCCAGGCATCGATGGGCTGACCGCAGAGTTCTACTGGGCCTTCTGGGACATCCTCAGCCCGGCCCTTGCCATAGTCTAGGCCAAATCTGAGGGAAGTGGGGAGCTCCCCCTGTAATGCCAGAGGGCCGTGCTGACCATCCTTTTAAGAAGGGGGATCTGCACAACCTGAGGAACTGGCATCCTGTGTCCCTCTCCTGCATGAACTACAAGGTGGCAGTGAAGGCCATCTTGCTGTGCCTGTGGTCAGTGCTGACAGACGTTATCCATCCCAACCAGATGTACATGGTGCCTGGACATTCAATCTTCGACAACCTGTACCTGGTTTGGGACCTCCTGGAGCTAGCACACAGGGTGGGTCTGCCTTTCACCCTCCTATCCCTGGAGCAGGAGAAGGCAGAGTGGATCACGGATACCTCACAGGCATGCTGCAGACCTTTAGCTCAGGCCCCGCTTCATGTGGAGTCTCCAGGTGCCGCCTCTGCAGAGTGCTTTGTCAAGCTCAACTGGACCCTGACGGAGCTCATCCAATTCAGGAGAGGGGTGCATCTAGGCTGCCATCTGTATGTCTTGGCCCTGGAGTCCTTCCTCCTTCTCCTCCGGAGGCAGGTGTGGCAGAAGGCCACCTCTGTTTCTCCCCAAAAACTCTGCTCTGTGACAATATGGTTAAGATGGGCCCTGCAGAGGGTACACACCTTACCCTATCTCTTTAGGTAACCTGAGCTGGATACATTCCTGAGGGAGGGGGGAAACTTGCTCTCTCTGCCTATGTGACTGGCATCACATACCTGGGTGAGGGGCTAGGACTCTCTGGGGAGCTAGGAACTACCAGTCTATCCAGCAACTAGTGATGCATTTCAAATTGGTTGGCTGACAGCCAACAGGTGCTGGCCTCCAGTGGACCAGGTAAATGAGGTCATAAGGGCTATATAAGTTAAAGACTGCCCAGGAGGAGGATGCAGCAGCCATGAGGAAGATTCAGAGAGAGAGAAGAGCTGGACCATCTGAAACTTGGTCTCTCTCTCAAAACTCACAATCAAGGAGCTGCCTGCCTCTAGAGAGAATCTCCACCTGCCTCTGGATGATACTTGTGAGTAAGCTACCTGAGATCTAACTAGATATATACCTTGCAATAACTCAGATGCGTGATCAAAGGCTACCCAGCCATGGGAGTTTGCTCTATGGGATTTCTCTGATATTGCTCTACACTGTACCCTATTCCAACCCTACCCCTTGTAACCAATAAAGTTCTCCTTTGTACCTAGCGTGGGAGACTTATTGGGAGTGGGTCTAGATTATGCTTTGGGGTCCCCTTGGTTCGGCTGACTAAGGGAGACCACTACTTGTGCTTCCGACCTGAGGGAAGCATCCCAAGTTCTTGAAGTGAATCAAGTACCCTCGAGAGGTACTAGGCCTATATTTTCCAGGGTGCACAGAGCCAGAATCAGGCCCATCCCTGGGTGGTGGCAGTGTTACCCCAGGCTAGTGGGTATGCTCCAGGAAGGGGGTTGGCCAGATGTGAGGCGCCCCCAGGGAGGCACTTGGAGCCTGGAAGGTGGTCGGGTGCAATAAAGTGGGTGGCTTAATGCAGGAGTGCCCCCTACTGGCCCACCACAGTGGGTGGCAGGGTTGATGCTCTGGGAGCTAGCAGTGAAGCTGGTCCTGTCAGCATATGTTGATGACGTACTCCTTGTGGTCCAGGACTCAGGCAACCTGGTGCAGGTGGAGGCCTGCCAGGTATTGCACTTGGTAACCTCCTCTGCGCAGGCCAACTGGGTCAAGAGTTTTGGCCTGGCAGTGGGTGATGGGTGGCAGGTGGGCTCACTCCCACCTGCACTCCACAAGATCCATTGAAGCGTAGTCTCACTGCTCTACTTGTGGGGTCTATCTGTCCCCCACAGAACCCTCCTCTCTGGAGAACTGGCACCAACTGGAGACAAGAGTGGTAGAGCGGCTCCGGGCATGGGCAGGGCTCCTGAGGTGTCTCTTCATGCATGGGAGAATGCTGGTGCTGAATCAGCCTGTCCTGTCCATGCTCTGGCACCGCTTACACACCCTGCCTGTGCCACCTGAGGTCCCAGTGGGACTCCAGAAATGGGCACTGCAGTTTTTCTGGCTGGGATACCACTGGGTCACTGCAGAGGCCCTGAGCCTCCCCTTAGGGGAGGGTGGCCAGGGCCTGGTTTGCCTGTCTTGGCGTTCCATCTTCAGGTCCTGAAGTGACTGCTATACGGTGTCGGTAGCTACGCGGCATGGGGCCACCTGGGGTGCACTT